TAGTGTTTCATTGAATGACACTGGTGTGGTCGGTTTGTAAAGGTAGTTTTGCTTCTGCTTTTGAATTCTAGTAAATTGTGTTCTGACAGAATTTCTCACTAAAATTATCAATGTGCTTGATTTGAATGTATTGTTCAAATGGATACAGATGTCATGATGTGATTAGAAGTATGGGCTCTTCTGACTAATAAAGTTATCCAAAGTTGCTTCAGTGTCTTAGGTTGTTATATTTATTAATTTGAATGTTAATCCCTTAGAGCAGAGATTTTCAACCTTTTTCTTGTCATGACACACAAACTATTACTAAAATTCGGTGGCACACACAAAATTTATTGTTGGAGCCATATGGGCATGCAATTTTCTTTGTGGGGAAGTTTTTAATTACATAACTCAATTTCTTTTATATGTATTTGTGTTTTTAGATTTTCTATTCTTTTAATAAGTTGTGTTTTTCTGGGAATTTGTCAATTTCATGTAACTTTTCAGATTTATTGGGTCAAGTTTGTTAATATTTGCTTATTGTTTTGATGTGTGCAAAGTCGTTAGTATTATCCCTCTCCTTCATTCTCTGTTTTAGGATTTGTGCCTTCTCTGATTTTACATGACGACCCATGCTAAAAGGTTTTATAATAGTTTTTAGAGAATTAACTTATTTGATTTTTCTCTCTTGTTTTCTATTTTAAAATTTGTTTTCCATTTAAAAAATTTGTTTCTGTGTTTCTTTTCTTCAACTTTGGGGTGGACTTTCTCCTGTGTCCTATTTCTTTTCTTTTTTAAAAAATATATTTTATTGATTTTTTACAGAGAGGAAGGGAGAGAGATAGAGAGCTAGAAACGTCGATGAGAGAGAAACATCGACCAGCTGCCTCCTGCACACCCCCTACCGGGGATGTGCCTGCAACCAACGTACATGCCCCTGACCGGAATCGAACCTGGGACCCTTCAGTCCGCAGACCGACGCTGTACCACTGAGCCAAACTGGTTTCGGCCTGTGTCCTATTTCTTGAAGGGGTATTTGATCAGGAAATTTGCCTCCGTGCTTTGTCAGAGACTGTGTGCGAGAAGTCTTTTAAGTCCTCTGTGGTTATAGAAGTGTCAGTTTTTCTTTCTGTTTCTGTCAGGTTCTGCGTTATATATTTTGGTGCTATCTTATTTTACCATTCCAGCTTAGAATTCTAATGACTTTTTTTTTAGTGGATTATCATATTTATTATTGTAAAAGGACCCTCTACTTTTAGTGGTGCTTCTTGCCTTGGGTCCCTTTGTCAGATATTAAGATGACTTTACAAGTTTCCTTTTGGTTAGTGTTTTCATGTTTTTTTATTTTTATTTTTATTTTTTACCATTTTATTTTAGCCATTCTGAGCCCTTATATTTTAATATATGTCACTAATAAGCAGGATATAATAAGATTTTAAACTCCACTGTTAAAATCTCCTGCTTGAACAATACCCTGTAGTGCTTCTTTTAGTGTGAGCCTGCTGCTGCTGCTGATGATGTGTGTGTGTGTATGAAATGTCTTATTTCATCTTCATTTCTGAAGGATTGTTACTGGACGGGGTCCTGGCCCAGGCAGGTGTGCTTGGTGTGGGAAAAGTTTCACAACAGGACCCAGGTGACTGAGGGACATTTATTGAAGCTGGGACAGTGAGACAAGAGGGCTTAGCACAGAAGCAGCAGCAGGAGAGCCAGGCGGGGCTGCTTAGGTCCCTGGGAAGCAGAGGAGAGGGGGCCTTGGCAAGGGGGTCAGGGTGAGCCTGGGACGTGGGGTCCGTTAGGGTGAGGGGGTGCAGGCCTGTGGGGGAAGTGGAGGGAGGGAACTTGGGGGCTGCTCCGAGAGGAGACATTCTGTCCTCTGTCTCACAGGGGAGGCTCCAGCAGAATAGCAGCAGCTTTCCAGGCGGGCTCCTCCGACCCTGGTCTCCCTGACTGGTCAGTGCTGGTGCCGGGGGCTGTCAGTCATCGCAGCTGGTCCTGGTGTCGCCCCCCTGGTTTTGCTGCTTTTTTGGATCTGGAGCTGAAATTCAGCTGAAGCTAGATGTTACCTGTATGGAGGCGGCCTAGTGTGTCTGCTGTAAATCGCTATCAGTGTGTTCTGCTCTCTGCCTCAGTTTCCCTGTTCTGCCTGAACTGGCTCACTGGCCTGTCTCAGTATGGGTATTAAGATTTTTCAAAAGTAGTCTTAGAGTCACAGTACAAATGTTTAATATTCCATGGAGAAAGGTAATTATTTCTAAAACTAGAGGTCTGGTGCATGAAATTTGTGCAGAGTGTGTGTGTGTGTGTGTGTGTGTGTGTGTGTGTCAGGGGTGGGTGTCCCTCAGGCCAGCCTGCACCCTTTCAATCTTGGACGCTTTGGGGGATGTTTGACTGCTGGGTTAGGCTCGATCCCTGTGGCAGTCTGACATCCCTCTCACAATCCAGGACCGCTGGCACTTAACTGCTCGCCTGCCTGCCTGATTGCCCCCTAATCACTCCCCTGCCAGCCTGGTTGAAGCTTAACTGCTCCTCTGCTGGCCCGATGCTCCCAACTGCCCTCCCCTGCCAGCCCTGTCGCCCCTAACTGCCCTCCCCTGCCAGCCCGGTCGCCCCTAACTGTGCTCCCCTGCAGGCCTGGTCGCCCCTGACTGCCCTCCCCTGCTAGCCTGGTTACCCCCAACTGCCCTCTCCTGCTGGCCTGATTGCCCAAAACTGCCCTCCCTGCCAGCCATCTTGTGGTGGCCATCCTGTGCAAGGGTGTGATGGTCAATTTGCATATCACCTCTTTCTTATATAGGATAAACCCTGAATCCTGAAGTCTCACACCTGGTGGTGGGTAAGTGCACACTGTCGCCAGAGCCTGTTATCTTCAAACCTCTGAGTTGTGATTGGTGGGCAGTGCTCGGCCCACAGGTGTCAGGCCCAAACCCTAGACCCCTGAGCTCCTGGCATGGCTTCAGGAACCTCTTCTCCTAACATGGAGGTCTCCCAGTAGCCAGTGTGCTGCGGAGTCAGCAATAGGTGCTTTGCTAGAGGGCACCTAATGGAAGAAACTTGGTGGGTTCCAGGGTGCAGTTCCTGGGGCTCCTTCAGGACTTATCCAGGGTCCCTGTCTGTCCCCTCTGCAGTGCTTTGCCTCCTCTTCCATCTACTCTTCTCTCTCAGAGAGCATTACATTTGGCTACTTTTATTAACCAATGTGTATTAGCCCAGTATACACTGAGCAACATTGTATATTCTCAATTTAAAATCATATTCTCAGTGTTAAATGGCAGTAAGTTGAACCAGTATGTCTTTTTACAAATACATTCTACCTTAGATATTTTGTGGCTTTAATAACATTTTTCTTTCATGCTAAATTTTAATTTATGGAAAAAGTAGAAGACATATCAGGTATCCACAAACATTGGGTACCCACCACTGAACTTATTAAGCAATATGGTATTACAGAGACTAACGTCCTCACTTTGTGTCAGTGTGTAAGTCTCATCCTGTTCCCCCAGAGAGCACCATTTGAATTTGGCATTTGTCAGCCCATGCATGTTTTATATGCCTAAATAGCATCCTTGTGCAAAATGGTAATTATCCTGTGTATCTTTCTGTATACAATTATACTACTAAGTGTAATTATAGATTTTTCAACATTTTCAGCTCTACCTATATTTATACCAATTCCTTCATTTACGCTAGTATTCTTCATTCCATTATGTATTTTTTCCCTATCTTATTAACTATCCTTTTGATCAATATTTAGATTATTTCCAATTTTTTGCTCTTTCACATATGTTGCATTGAATGTAACTTTCTCATTTCCTTGGGTGTGTGTTTGAGAGATTTTCTAGGGTGTGTGAATATTTATTATATAAATAAAAGGCTAATATGCAAATTGTCCCCTCAGGAGTTCGACTGACCAGGAGTTTGACCACTAGCTATGACTTGAGCTGACCACCAGGGTGTGGTGCAGAATGAAGGAAAGCCCCAGCCAGCAGGCGACAGCTGGGAGAAGGAAGGCTCCTATTGGCCCCGATTGCCAGCCAGGCCTAGGGACCCTGCCTGTGCATGAATTTTGTGCACTGGGCTTCTATTGTGTGTTTGTGTGTGTGTGTGTGTGTGTGTGTGTGTGTGTTTGTGTGTGTGTGTGTATGTGTTTCTCACTCATAGGAAGTATGTGGGTTCAGAATGTCCCAACCTGAGCTGCTTGGAGCTTGATATTATGTCTATTCATGATTCATTTATAATGAGCTAATAAGTGACTAAGTAGCTGAGTGTATGCCCTCTGTGTTCTAATTTTATGTTTTCTATTTGTGTATTTATTTAAATGGGGACCTACCCTTCCCAAATAGTTTAATTTTATTAAAAAGAATGTCTGTTGAGCCACAGAGTATGTGGTTTCTTGAAGAATTCTTTATGTGTATTTTTCTCTGTTTCAGAGTGATAAGCTCATAATTATGATATTGTCAGCTTGTTCATATGTGAAAGCCAGTGTTTCTCAGACGTGATGAGTAGTCACCAAGACAGGCTTCCAGGAAGTGATTTTCTCTGTAGAAAGGCGTGCTGTGCCCTTTCACTGGGCTGGCATTTGCACTGATGAGGGAAAAGCAATAGTGGGTAAAACTACCAACATCTTTGTAAGAACCAAGGAAGTGACATCAGTCTGTAGTTATTTGTATTAACATTAATGGGTTTATTTGTATTATTAAATAAATAAATATTTTTAAAATTTGTAATTTCAGTTTCTAATAAACTATTGGTACATATAACCTAAACAAAATCTTTCTCTTTAAGAGGTTTAAGGAGACCTAAGATCACAGATTTTGAGGACCACTATTAAGTACATGGTAGATATATGAACAAATATATTATTCTTCCAGATTCTTTGAGAAAGAAAATTTAGGTAATATAGTTCCTTTAACAGATAAATTCAGTTACTTTTAATGTTATATGTGAATTTAAAGTTTTCAATTTATTTCATTAAAATTTTGTTTATAACTAGATTATATTTGTAAATAAATATTTTGCAGGTGCTGACCTTAAGGAAAGAGTCAAAATGAGTTCTAGTGAAGTTGGCCCTTTTGTTTCAAAAATAAGAGCAGTGATTAATGAAATTGGTAAGTATAATTAAATTCTCTTTTAGCATGCTGAATCTGACCTTAAATGTCAGATATAAAAAATTATACACTGTCTTTATTTATAAAAATTGTCCAAAACACTTATATAATTAGAAAATCATGACCTAAAGCTGATTTTTGTAAAATAATACATAATGTATTTGATTTGAAAATTTGTGAAGAATGTTTTATAATTAAAGAGGCCGCCTATGTATAATGACATGGCATATGAAGATAATTATTACAAAACAAAGAGAGTAATTTGGCATTAGCCTTTGACTTAAAGTATCTATAGTTCTTGAGTAATTTCATACACAAATGTGTTTATAGATTTGGAATCTTTTTGTTTTTTACATGAATAGGATTGTATTGTTTCCTTAGTATTACAGATTTTTGTATAATATTTACATTTCAGTACATATCAATCTACTTTATTACTAGTACTTTTTCATATATTGCTAAATAGTAATCATAGCATAGTCTCATCCATATTTTAAAATTATTTCTTTAATGAATATTTGAGTTTTTTGTTATTTATAAACAAGCAGTGAATATCTTTGTATCAAGTCTTTCAGAATATTAATATTTGTATTTATAGGATGGATTCCTAAATACGGAATTACAGTCCTAAGTATAATGTGTTCTTTGTACATTTTAATAAATATTGCCAGATTACATTTTTAAAAGGTTGCAATCATTTTTATTTCCATTAATTATATGACAGTATCTGTTTCCTCATATTCCTGTCAGCATTTAATGTTGCTATTTAAAAATTTTTTCAAGGTTAAAAAACAAACATCTTAGCAGTTAATTTGCATTTCCCCAGATATTGTGTCATGTTTTATGTTAAACTGCCTTTTCATGGCCTCCTTCTCCTTTTATAGCATTGTATAATAATTATTTATTTATACAGCCTTGGTCCTGTATCTTTTTTCTCTTCCTCAAATTCATTCCTAGCTATAGTGTACCTTTGAATTGGGTGTTTTTCTTCCGTTTCTGTTGAAGTCTTGCTGTTGTAGGTCTGCAGGAACATTACTAAGTTTTATGTGCTTCTCTGAGATGCCCGCCTCCTAATTACTTGCACTAGTTATTATTATTTCTTCATTAATTTTCTTGTATTTTCCAGATAAAGGCTTATTATTTATAAATAATGTAATTTTGGTGTTGTTCTTTTCTCAACATTTTTATCTTATATATCTTTCATATATTTTTACATTGTCTAAGGCCCTTGGTATAATATTCAGTTGTTGAAGTGAGCATGTTTATCCTTATCTTTATTTGACTTTGATGAATACTTTTAACATTTTTCCAACAATTTATCAAATTCTTCTTTTCTCCTATTTCAGCTGCCCTGGTCTTATATTACTAGAATAAAGCCTGCCCGGTCATTGTGGTTAGCGGTCATCGTGGTTTTACTGTATTATTCTGGACTCAGTTTTACAGGTGTTGGCGTAATCATAAATGAGATTGACTTCTGATTTGGTTTTTGTGTTACCTTTTCTGGCTTGGGTCAAGGCTATGCACAGCCCTCATGGCAGGAGGTAGTAAGCTTCCCATCTCTCTGTGCTGCACTGGGCTCATCTGTTAATTGAAGGATTAGTGGAATATGACATCTTTTGGAGTTTTATGTGTTTTTTTGTTCTTGTTTACTTAAAAATGTATTTTATTTTAGTTATTTTATTATTTTATATTATTTTATTTATTTTTTCTATTGCCTTTTATCCCCTCTAGGCCCTCTTCCACCTCCACCCACTTCCTGCTTCCCCTGCCATCGCCACGCTCAGTTTTAAAATACGTGTGTTTTGGTTTCTGGAATGGTTGTTGTTACCGTACTGTCTCTTTTCATCCTGTGCTAGTGTCAGCAGAGGCTCTTCTCTGCTTCTCTCTCCAGCTTCACCCCACGGTTAGAGGCGTCTGAGGGGGAGTGTGGCTGGGTTTCCATATTGGTCAGAGAGCTTGGCGTTGGAAGTAAAAGTCAAAGTTGTCTGACTTCACACATGCTAGGAGGAGCGGCTAAGCCTGGTCTGATTGTAAACACTACCTTGATGTTTCTTCAAAGTCTCTTTCTATTTTATTAAACTGAAATTGGATTTTTTCTGAGATTTTTTAAATGAAGAACTGTTCTGTTTCTGCGGTGACATTTTCTTTTCTGTGATTACAGCTGTAGCATTTTTATTGTGGATTCTGTCTACCTTTGTCAATTCCATGAGTTCCTTCATATTTTTTTATGGTAGTTTTCATTGCAACATTACAATAGACATGAAATGTTTAAATTGCCTTCGTAGTGGTTTAGTGCAATTTTGAGGGGCAGATAGAAACTGAGTGTCTCGATCTAATCTGCTCATCCTATATAATAAAAGCCTAATATGCTAAGTGTCCAACTGTTTGTTCAACCGTCCAACCAGTCCCTACGACTCACACTGACCATGAGGGGAGAGACACTCTGACTGGTAGGTTAGCTTGCTGCTGGGTCCAGCCGATCAGGACTGGGTGAGATGGGCCGGACAGGCCCTGGAGCCCTCCTAACAGTCCCTCCCCACCCGGCCAGCCTCCTGTGGTTCCTCACGAGCCAGCTGGCCCCACGTGTCTCTGGTACTGGTTGAGATGGCCCGATTGGCCCTGATCAGCCCCTGTTGGCCTTGGTCAGGACTGGGCGAGACGGGCTGGACATGCCCTGGACAAATCCATGCACGGGGCCTCTAGTTTAACATATGGAACCAGGGCAGGCAGACTTCTTAAAGGGATGGATAGTAAATATATGTGGCTTTGTCACAGCTACTCAACCTTCTTTTTTTTTTTTTTTAAAGACTTTCTTTTTCTATTTTGTTAATTCTCAAATTAAAAAAATTTCATCTGCTCTCCTCCCTCTCATCTGAGAATTAACAAAATATCACCAGAAGATATTTTTCCATTGATGTTTAGAGCGAGTGGGAAGGATGGGGAAAGAGAGAGAGAGAGAGAGAGAGAGAGAAACACCGATGTGAGAGAGACACACATCAATTGATTACCTCCTGTACACTCCCAACTGGGGCCAGGAATTGAACCTGCAACTGAGGTAATTGCGCTTGACTGGAATTGAACCTGGAATCCTTCAGTCCTTAGGCCCACACTCTATCCATTAACCAGCTAGAACAAAGACTTCCTTTTTCTTTAAACGCATTTTTATTGATTTCAGAGAGGAAGGGAGAGGGAGAAAAGGATAGAAACATCAATGATGAGAGAGAATCATGGATTGGCTGCCTCCTGCATGCCCCCCACTGGGGATTGAGCCCGCAATCTAGCATGTGCCCTGGGGTGGAATTGAACCCAGGACTCTTCAGTTCGCAGGCTGACTCTCTCTCCCTCTCCACTCTCTCCCCTGAGCCAAACCAGCTAGGGCAAGACTTTATTTTTCTAGAACATTTTAGTTCACAACAAAATGGAGAGGAAAATACAAAGATCATGCATATACCTCTGCTTCCACATGTGCATGTCCTCCCTACTCTAACACCCTCCCTCCAGAGTGATGTGTTTGCTACAGCTGATGAACCTTCACTGACACATTATAATCACCCACGCACACAGTTTACTTTTAGTATTGGACATTCTATGGGTTTGAATAAATGCAAAATGAAATGTGTCAATCATTATATTGTCATACAGAGTATTTTTATTGGCCTGGAATCCTCTTTGCATGGCCTTGTTATCTATTTCCTCTCCAGCAGCCACATTTTACTGTCTCCATAATTTTGCAATTTTAGAACGTTAGGTAGTTGGAATCATACAGTTTATAGCTTTTTCAAATTAGTTTCATTAAACTTTCAAATTGGTTTCATTATATTTTTCTCCATGTTCTTTCATGACTAGACACTTCATTTTTAGTGCTGTTTGGATGTATCAGTTTACTTATCCATTCACCTACCCAAGGATGTCTAGATTGCTCCCACAAAATGGCAGTTATGAATAAAACTATTATAAACATTGTGTGTAGGTTTTGGTATGGACATAAATTTTTAATTTCTTTGTGTAAATACCAAGGAGCAAAAATTGTTGGATTGTGATGTCGCTGGTGAAAATGGGGCCCTTGTCCTGTCACAAGACATTTTTGGGGACCCATAAGCGAGGATGAGGTCTGGGGTAAGATTTGGGCGGGAGTAGAAGGCTGCCCCCAGGTTCCCAATGTCTCATCTCTGTCCGTCGTTGTGAAAAGAGTCCAGCCTAGTCTTCATCAGGCCCAAAGGCCAGTCAGTGTCCAGAAGCTCTGCGCTAGCCCAGGCCTGGCCCATTGGCCATGTTGCAGCTGGTGCTGGGTCCAGGCCCACTTGGGCCCCACGGGGCTGCTATGGAGGGACACCAGCGGGCTGTACAGGATGAGCAGGTGTGAACAAAGAGGGAGAGGAGGAGAAAGAGGAAGGGATGGGAGCAGGATGGGGAGAGAGAGAGAGAGAGAGAGAGAGAGAGAGAGAGAGAGAGAGAGAGAGAAAGAAAGAGCTTTGTTAAGCTGGAATTATATTATCTTGGACTTGGGAAAGACCAGGTACTTCTTTAAACTAGTCAGTCAGTTTTTCAACCTTTCAGAGGCTGGTTGTTGGGCCAATCCATTTTCTGGATCTTCCAGGGTTCTGTGTACCTTATCCAATCGATCCTTTTCCCAAGCTAGGCCCCACCCCTTGTGGTCACTCTCTTAGTTTCTACTGTCCATGCCTCGTAATACATGTTCCTCTCTCTAAGTCATCTTGGCTTCTGTGTGTGTGCCCAGCAGAGGGATTTCTCTTTTATTGTTTTATCTCCCCCTTGGTAATCGTGGGTAATGATTGTAATGAGCCTTCCTCCAGGGATCAGGCCCCAGCACAGAGGTGTCGGTCCTCGGGGGAGCCTGCAAAGCGGTAGCTTCCTAGCGAAGCAGATGCAATGATTGGATTCAGCTCCCAGTTTAGTAAGCTTCTTAATGTCTGATTCCTTTTGTCCCCTCCTTTATCAATGTCTAGCTACCTATGCTGACACAAAGTTCAGAGTTGCTT